CTTTGCGTAGTTCAGACAGTTAAGCTTGGCAAGGTTCGCAGTTTCTCATAATCCTGTTACTGTTTTTGCAGCGAGCTAGGATGCACATGTTTTGAAAGAGTTAATAATTTTCCTTAATGTTTCTGGCTTTTTCGCTGTAATTGCGTCCTTTTTTTTACCCGTAAGTAAGCAAAACAAATTTTTAGACAATTTTTGTGTGAAAAAAAAGTTTTTTACTCTATCAAACTTTTGTTTTCGAAACAAACCTCTCGTGCGGAATATAACGGAATAATTGACTTATTTCGGACTATATCGAGCAATGCAGTATCTTCAGACAAGAGTTTGTTGTCAATCATGAAACTATTTGTTTGAAAATCTTCCAATATACTTAGTAGAGCATAAGGTGTTCGTCGATTCCATAGCACTTAAAGCGACTGTTTTTAAATAGTACAACTTAGCAGGGACTTAGTAAAAAGACGTATATATATATATCTATATATATACATATATTATAAATGCCGTTTTAAATATTAATCAAGCCTTACAAGTCCCGAGCTTTATAGTCCTAAGATCAAACAGCTTTCTGCTACCAGATTTGAGGATAGAAAGAATTGTGCTTTGTCTTGCTTCCCTATTACTTTTCCCTACCGTTTATATATGTTTTGCAAATTTTTTTTATTAAGGGCCGTTCCACGAAGAAATCTTCTGGGGAAAACTACTTTGAAGAGACTCAATGGAAAGAGGAGAAAAATCAGCGTTTTGCTCATTGTGTCTACCTTTAGTCCAATTTGTGAAATGAGCTATAATTATACTAAAGCTTGAGGGCAATTATTAATTACTTACTGGATAATAATGAGAAAGAAGGCTAAATTTACCGTCTTCTGAGAAGTCTAGAAACTTTCAGTAGGTCCTAAATTTTTTGATGCGTTCTTTGCGTAACCCGCGAAGTCCTTTTTGAATGTCACAGCTGTAATTGAAACGCTGCATGAAGCTTTTGCCAGCTTTTCTGGATTATTTCGCCAGTATAACGTTCTACTACGCGCTCATGGGAGAGTGATCTCTCGAAATACGTGTGGAAAGGAAGCTGGAGCTACTAATGGATTTTGCTTGTGAAAAAAAGATGAGATTCGGCCTTGATATCATCTCAGCTTCTACTCATTGTTTAGTTAGTTGCAGAATACTATATATTTGCGCTAATATGAAACTCATTCAAGGGAAGAGTGATGCAAAAATTGGTTAATTGAAGCCACTTCAGAAGGTTGGCTCAGCGTTAAAGAAAGGATTCAGAGACAGCAGTTTCAAGAGGAATGACAACGGTAAATTAGTGAAAGTTTAAAAATTCACTTTATTTTTTTACGTTTGTAATTCTTCTAAAATATCGGTTTCAACAAACTGGGGTACCTCGTCAATCTACTGAATATTTTTCTTACAACAAACAGTTTAATTGCTATTAAGAGATAAACGTACACGTTGCTAAAAGATAGGTTTCCCATGCTAACTGAAAAGCTTTTTCTTCTGGGTATCCTTGCTTGCGAAAGTAATCTGCAATCTTGTGTCGAATATTTCGCATAACTGCAATAAAGGATCGTCGGTTAACACAACACAAAACTGCCAGTTCATGGTATTTTTGCTTTCTGGAAAGTAATCAATCTGGAAACCTTTTAGTCGGAGTAAAATTACAACTTTCTAATTGTTTAATAATGAATTCTGACTAATGTATCACTGTTGGAAGCAGAAAATTTGAATTTTTTTGGTGTTTAGTACTCTTCAACTCTACTTAGATATCACTACTATTGAAAGCTTTAATTTTCAGATGTGTAACGAATTGTCTATCAGAAAGACTGATGACTTTTATCTAAGTTTCAGAAGCAGAGCTGTTCAATCAATGCAGCTTTCGCTTAGTCGCACCTCTTTTACCGTGCTGATGACTATTTATACGTAGGTGAATAAATAAGAAAATAAGTAAGAAATAAATATAAATTTGTAAATTAATAAGTATATTTATATAGATAAGTAAATAAACAAAAACAAGAAGAAGAACAAAAAAGAATATGTGTATAAGAAGCAAGAATATGGCAGAAATATCAATAGGTTTTTGTGTCGTCAAATATGAAAAAGAAAATGCTCTTTTAATGCTACGTTTTCGCGTAGGTTCACCAGTTTTAGAAACAAAAAAAATTTCTCTGCATTGCAGAAAAAACAACGTTTCCTAAAAATAGGAAACCACAGAGTATTTGGAGGATAACACCAAAACAAAATTCACAGTCAAAAGTTACCACAGAATTTCTAATCTCCAGGTTAGAAAATTTTAAGCAGAGGGTCTAAGAGATATAAGTTGAAAAAGTGATCGTCATGGTAAGTTTTCTTCAAAACACTCTTTTAAATTATTTAGAAGCATTTTTTAACTACTTTTTTATTGAGCTTATAAAAGTTATAGTATTTTTCAACAATATATCATATACATTTTTGAGAGTAATAATATTGCGCTTAAAACAAGGATTCGGTTACTAGTTCAGGCGCTAAAATGTTACATAAATCAAAGATTTTTTACAGTCTAGTCTTATTAATTGTTTCATATCTAGTGATACCACAAAAGGTACCATTCTCTAATCGTAGTACTTTATACAAAAAGTTGGTTTTAAATAACCAGTATTGCTAAAAGTTTTCGAAAGTTAATGCTGTATAGTAAACAACAGAAGTGTTTATAGAAATATAAAGTATTTTATTGTGGTCTGCTTCCTCTGAATTGTGGCAACATTAGAAAGGCTAAAATCAATCTTATTTAAAGTTTTGCAAGTTCAGAAAAAAAAAAAAAAAAATGAGAGAGGGAGATTGGTTATTTTGTTCATTAAAAATTGCGATGACAGTATTTTTTTTTTTTTTTTTATAAACTTGCCTTGCCTAAGTCTTTTACAAATGCTTTCACTTTAGCTGAGTAACTCAGGATTGAGCTGGCTTTTCATCCTCTCAAAGCTACTTTTTAATCTATTTAATCTAATAATTTAATTTATTTAATCTAATAAAATGCAACTGCTTGTCAGCTATTGAAAAAAGAAAAAGTAGAAAAATAAGCTTGTTGTTTATAAGTGCTTGCATGGTTTTTGCAAATTTATTTCAAGTATTATTGGGTTTATTGCATTATAGGAAGCTATAAACAAAGATTTTGCTCTTCTATTTGTTCAAATATTCTTGAGTTTTTGTTTTTTTTTTTTGTTTTTAAGATAGGTAGCTAACATTTTATTCTACAGCATAACTTTTGAACATATCGGTAAAAATAATTAAGGCATGAATTTTTTGCATTTGATCAAGTTAGACCAAGTTAAATATGACACTTGATTTTGGCAATGAACCATTTTTCCAAACCAATTAAGACAGTTACAATTTTAAGAGTTTTTTTCAAAAATCAAATTCAACTAGGACAAATTTGCAGTTTTAGTTAAGCAAAGCAAAAAAAAGGAAAACGGCATAAACAATTCCGAACATTGGTATAACGTTGGACTGATAAGTGTAAAAACACTTTTATTAATTCTATTATTATATCACTAATTAGTAACCTATTTATTTATTTTTACCTCGTTAGCATATTTTCAAATTTTATTACACCATTAGATTGTTTGACTAGATTAACCTTTGCTTACATCATTTGCAGTTTTTTTTAACAAAGTTAAACACCTAAAATATAGAATTGCAGGTAGTGTAATTCGAATTAAAATCATTTATTTCTTACTATTTTAAAAAGCAGAAGCGATGAAAGATAATCGACAACTTTTAATCACCTTTTTTTTTTTTAAAGAAAAGTTTTTGAAATTTTCTTGTATCGCATTTTATCTGCTTTTGTCAACGTACATAAACTTTTATGTGAAAATTTTATCGTCAAATGTTCATTTTTTGATCGTATAAACGATATGCAAAAAATCTAAAGTAATCATTTTTGAAAGCAATTTTTTTTTTTT